GTTTTAATGGAACTGATTTATTGGAACTGATATATTGAAACTGATATATTGGAACTTATATATTGGAACTGATCAATTGGAACTGATATATTAGAACTGATATATTGGAACTGATATATTGGAACTTGTACATTAAAACTGATATATTGCAATTGATATATTATAACTGATTTATTTGAACTGATTTATTGGAACTGATATATTGGAACTGATCTATTGAAACTGATATTTTGAAACTGATATATTAGAACTGATTTATTGAAACTGATCTATTAGAACTGATTTATTGGAACTGATCAATTAGAACTGATTGATTGGAACTGATATATTAGAACTGATATATTGGAACAGATATATTGGAACTGATTTATTGGAACTAATATATTGGACTGATATATTAGAACTGATATATTGGACTGATATATTAGAACTGTTTTAATGGAACTGATTTATTGGAACTGATATATTGAAACTGATATATTGGAACTGATATATTGGAACTGATCAATTGGAACTGATATATTAGAACTGATATATTGGAACTGATATATTGGAAGTAGTACATTAGAACTGATATATTGCAATTGATATATTATAACTGATTTATTTGAACTGATTTATTGGAACTGATCTATTGAAACTGATCTTTTGAAACTGATATATTAGAACTGATTTATTGGAACTGATCTATTAGAACTGATATATTGGAACTGATCAATTAGAACTGATTTACGGAACTGATATATTGGAACTGATCTATTGGAACTGATTTATTGGAACTGATTGATTGGAACTTAGATATTGGACCTGATATATTGGAACTGATACATTTGAACAGATTGATTGGAACTGATCTATTGGAACTGATATATTAGAACTGATATATTGGACTGATATATTAGAACTGTTTTAATGGAACTGATTTATTGGAACTGATATATTGGAACTGGTACATTAAAACTGATATATTGCAATTGATATATTAAAACTGATTTATTGGAACTGATTTATTGGAACTGATATATTGGAACTGATCTATTGAAACTGATATTTTGAAACTGATATATTAGAACTGATTTATTGGAACTGATCTATTAGAACTGATTTATTGAAACTGATCTATTGGAACTGATATATTATAACTGATATATTGGACTGATATATTAGAACTAATTTATTGGAACTGATATATTAGAACTCATTGATTGGAGCTTATTGATTGGAACTGATATATTGGACTGATATATTAGAACTGATTGATTGGAACTGATATATAGCAACTGCTATATTCGTCTGATTTATTAGAACTGATTGATTAGGACTGATATATTATAACTGATTCATTGGAACTGATATATTGAGACTGATATTTTGGAACTGATATATTAGAACTGATTTATTGGAACTGATGTATTAGAACTGATTTATTGGAACTGATATATTAGAACTGATATATTGGAACAGATATATTGGAACTGATTTATTGGAACTAATATATTGGAATGATATATTAGAACTGATATATTGGACTGATATATTAGAACTGATTTATTTGAACTGTTATATAGGAACTGATATATTGGACTGATATATTAGAACTGATTGATTGGAACTGATATATTGGAACTGATTCATCGGAACATATATATTAGAACTGATTTATTGGAACTGATTTATTGGAACTGATATATTGGACTGATATATTAAAACTGATTTATTTGAACTGATATATAGGAACTGATTTATTGGACTGGTATATTAGAACTGATTGATTGGAACTGATATATTGGAACTGATTCATCGGAACATATATATTAGAACTGATTTATTGGAACTGATTATTGGAACTGATATATTATAACTGATATATTAGAAATGATTGATTGGAACTGAGATATTGGAACAGATATATAAGAACTGATTTATTGGAACTGATATATTGGACTGATATATTAGAACTGATATATTGGAACTGATTGATTGGAACTGATGTATTGGAACTGATATATTGGAACTGATATATTGGACTGATATATTTGAATTGATATATTTGAACTGATTTATTGGAACTGATCTATTAGAACTGATTTATTGGAACTGATATATTGGAACTGATATATTGGAACTGATATATTGGAACTGATTTACGGAACTGATATATTGGAACTGATATATTAGAACTGATTTATTGGACCCGATTTATTGGAACTGATATATTGGAACTGATATATTGGAACTGATATATTAGAACTGATTGATTGGAAGTGATATATTAGAACTGATTTATTGGAACTGATATATTGGAACTGATATATTGGAACTGATATATTGGAACTGATTTACGGAACTGATATATTGGAACTGATAGATTAGAACTGATTTATTGGACCCGATTTATTGGAACTGATATATTGGAACTGATATATTGGAACTGATATATTAGAACTGATTGATTGGAACTGATATATTGGAACTGATATTTTAGAACTGATATATTGGAACTGATATATTAGAACTGATTTATTGGAACTGATTTATTGGAACTGATATATTGGAACTGATATATTGGAACTGATATTTTGGAACTGATTGATTGGAACTGATATATTAGAACAGATATATTGGAACTGATTTATTGGAACTGATATATTGGACTGATATATTAGAACTGATATATTGGACTGATATATTAGAACTGATTAATTGGAACTGATTTATTGGAACTAACTTTTTGGAACTGATTGATTAGAACTTATATATAATAACTGATTTATTGGAACTGATAAATTGGACTGATATATTAGAACTGATGTATTGGAACTGATATATTGGAACTGATATATTGGACTGATATATTGGAACTGATATATTTGAACTGATTGATTGGAACTGATATATTAGAACTGATTTTTTTGGAACTGATATATAGGAACTGATATATTAGAACTGATTTATTGGAACTGATATATTGGAACTGATTTACGGAACGGATATATTGGAACTGATATATTAGAACTGATTTATTGGACCCGATTTATTGGAACTGATATATTGGAACTGATATATTGGAACTGATATATTAGAACTGATTGATTGGAAGTGATATATTGGAACTGATATTTTAGAACTGATATATTGGAACTGATATATTAAAGCTGATTTATTTGACCTGATTTATTGGAACTGATATATTGGAACTGATATATTGGAACTGATTTATTAGAACTGATATATTGGAAGTGATATATTGGAACTGATATTTTAGAACTGATATATTGGAACTGATATATTAGAACTGATTTATTGGAACTGATTTATTGGAACTGATATATTGGAACTGATATATTGGAACTGATATTTTGGAACTGATTGATTGGAACTGATATATTAGAACTGATATATTGGAACAGATATATTGGAACTGATTTATTGGAACTGATATATTGGACTGATATATTAGAACTGATTAATTGGAACTGATTTATTCGAACTAACTTTTTGGAACTGATTTATTAGAACTGATATATTGGAACGGATATATTGGACCTTATATGCTCAACCGATATACTAGAAGTTATATATTGGAACTGATATATTGGAACTGAATTATTGGAACTGATATATTGGAACTGATATATTTGAACTGATATATTAGAACTAATATATTGGAACTGATATATTTGAACTGATCAATTGGAACTGATATATTGGACTGATATATTAGAACTGATATATTGGATTGATGAATTGGAACTAATATATTAGAACTGATATATTGGAACTGATATATTGGAACTGATATATTAGAACTGATATATTGGAACTGATAAATTCGAACTGATATATTGGACTGATATATTAGAACTGATATATTGGAACTGATATATTTGAACTGATCAATTGGAACTGATATGTTGGACTGATATATTTGAACTGATATATTAGAACTGATATATTGGAACTGATATAATGGAACTGATATACAGGGACTCATGAAGATCCGGGTACAGAATATGTCTCAGCCATCCCTATTCTCATGATCAATTTCAGATTTGATTAATAAAAATGAAGAATTGTTTCGTTTAGTTAAAACTGCTATCAATTTAACTTGTGCAAAGCTGTTGCTTGATGGGGAGGAACAAGAAAGTTTGCCATGTTTGACATTGATTAAAACGAAAAGGATGAATGCTTATATACGTTAATGTTATGTTCAGTTTTAGAGATTGGTCATAATAGATGGATTTTGAGATGACATGTTGGGCCAGTATTTACTTTTAACGATTTAATGGCCTGGGGACAGGACTATGTGCATATTTTGCCTTTGACTCACATGCTGTAGACATAGGCTTCTTTGCCTGACAGATGTGTAATCAACATACTACCATATTGTACTTTGTTAGCTTCTACATCATGATGTGAAATAGAACTATCCTCTGACACTATTCATTCCTGAAACGATAATCGCTGTTTGAGGGTGGGCTCAACACCACTTATCCTGAATGTTTTTTGTGTGTGTTGTTTAACACCTCACTCAGCAATAGTCCAGCTATATGACGACCGTCTGTACATAATCCAGCCGGGACCAGACAATCCAGTGATTAATATCATGAGCATCGATCCACGCAATTGGGATCGATGACATGCATCAACCAAATCAGCGAGCCTGACCACCCGATCCCGTCAGTCGCCTCTTACGACAAGCATAGTCACCTGTTACGACAAGCATGGGTTTCTGAAGACCTATTCTACCCCGGATCTTCACGGGTCTCTCCTGAATGTAGGATATCATGAGTGATCATAGCGCATGACCTACAAATGACACCTAGTCCAGAGGTCACCAGTGGAGGCAACAGTGTTGGTATTGGATGACAGGTAGGTTTGCGTATTACTACCTGATTGTCCTGATGATCTCAGAGTTATCACTGTTTCAGCGCAGATATGTTTTCAGTAATTGACACGTGGATGTTAGCGCTCGTTCCTTGCAGGCAGAAGAGACATACCTCCTTTGGCGACAGTTTTTCGGACGCACTCTAGCTGTCTCTGGATTTCCCTTCCAAAGTCCCCATGTTCATGTCGCAGAACTACAACCACACAGGAGACGTGGTGGTCGTGGGGCACGTTGAAGGTTTGGTGCGATATTTCAAGACCCTTCCCAATCTGGATTTTAAACAGAGATAGCATTTGTAGATTTTAAAATAGAATGGAACTGTTTTTCATGGTTCAAAGAGATGCACACAAAATATTAGATATTAAGTCATCATTACAATGGTTCATCGTCGTCTATAAGGCGCCGCGATTCGTTGTGCAGAGTTGCGTCCCTTGGGTACGCCCTTGTGGGCTGGAATCCCGTTTCGCCCCGATTATGTTTCCAGGCTTGTCAGCATTAGCATCGTTAGTTTCACCGAAGTGGTAAACGTCTGAGACCTGCATCTCTTCAGACTTTCCTTCCACATTAAGCTGACACGCTGATAAACCTGGAATACTATTCGAGGCGGCGTAAACCCGAACTCACTCACTTACTCACTCACTCATCATTAGTTTAGAGGACAAACTAAAATGTGTAGAATTTTGAAGTTATGTATCAATAAGTTTCACTTTAATTTTTATTTGCCCTACCTTGGCTTGAAATGGAACTTTCCCTGACAAAATACTGATGATATTCGAAGATAAAATGTCGGGTGACTCGAATATACCAGGCATGTCAAATATCCAGTGATTCTTGTAGAGAGCTCCTTGGAACTGTAAGATGAAAACATGTTCTTATAATCAAATTTATCTCAGTGTTTTTAAAATGTCAAATGATAAAACATATGATCATTCTGTGAAACGTGAGGGCGAATTGGTTGTTTTTATAAAATATGTATTGATGATATGCATGAACCTAGGTATACATATAGAACGTTTGACTTGATAGGGGCAGCCTTTGGCTGGCCACATTGACTAACGGGTAGACTGTGGCAGATCATTGTTGACGTCCTCATTGGGACATACTTGGGGTATTTGTAAAAGCAACATTGAACTATGTACTATTAGACTAAATGCCAAGTAAGCCCTTCTGAATACAGAAAAGACAATAACTTACACCAGTGGTAAGAGATTCGGAGCCAGATATCACAGCATGGTAATTTGAAGGATGCTCCATGTTGAGGATTGCTGTCCTGAGCCCATTAGCAAGAGATGATTTACCCATGCCAGTTGGTCCAAACAGCAGGATCTTCAGCTTCAATAGCTTGCCTGCACTGTTATACCGCGGCTCCAAAAATTCATTCTGCAACCTTTGGTATTCCTGTTCCAACACACATCACTCGTAGATTTTTTGTTTCAAATAGACACTGGTGTTTTCAAACATGTACTGGTTTTATTTACATATTAGATTATTTCAAAACGTCTACAGTTAATGATAAACAACAAGAACACTATTTTTAACTAAATATTAGTTTCTTTGGCGATGATACCATCAAATCAGATGTTTCAGTTAGAGGTGTTATTGTGATTTGAAAATCTAGTATTTCCCAAAAATACTGGTTCATTTTAAGCGTTGATTCAAATTGAAGAAGAGAATCCAAAGACAAGAAAACAATGGATTAAGTATAATGTCAAACCTCACGCGTCCAGATAAGGTCCCCTGCAGGTCCCCATCGATATTGCTGAAAGGATAAACATACACGTATGGTAGAACAGTCCCATGAATAAACTGTGAATGTTAAAATCACACACTTTTTGTTAATTGAGGTATAATTAATTTCTGTCACTGTTTTGTTGAATGGGACTAAAATCAAGACCATACGTTTCACAGTAAAATGTTTCTAAATGAACAAGGTTTACAAACCTCGTTCTCGCCAACTGAATCTGAAATGCAAATAGACTATGAAAGGTTTATACACATCAAGCATATGTGCATTAATTTGAAAGATATTGTATTTCTTCATTACAATGATGTGGTCCTTTTTTATTTGAATATGCTCATTACCAAGTTATTTTTCTAGGTTCACTACTCTCTGTGTCCGGTGGAACTTGTTTATGTGCATATAGTATGTTGCCACTGACCTCCTGCGTCTTGTGTCTCTGTCTCCCATTCCTGTAATAAAGATGCAAACGATATGTTAACTGAAGGAAGAAAACGTTTTGTTCAGTACAATAATAAATAGTGAGTGAGGGAATATTGTTTTACGCTGATTTTAACAATATTCAGGCAATATTACTGCGGGGGCACCAGAAATTGGCTTCTCACATTGTACCCATGTCGGGAATTGAACCCGAGTTTCCGGCGTGACGAGCAAACGCTTTAACCACTAGGCTACCCGACCGCCCCTACAATTCTAGATATGTTACTTGGAGTAGTTTGAATGCATTTTTGGCTTTAATAGATCATTCGTGTACTTTGATTGCATGATGGATGTAACAACTGATATGATGTCATAAGATTCACTTACTTGTTTGTTATCATGGCCTGTAAAAGGAAAGATGAAAGGTAGCATGATGCAAATGCAGATGTGAGTGACACATCAGAATGCTTGCTCTACTGCCTTGAAAGCTAACGTCATGATTAAGTATTGATATAATGCTGAAAGGTTTACATGAATAGTGAAAGGTCATAAATAACTCTCAAATAGTTTACGAGTTTAAGTATAAATAATAGAATATACTTACCAAGGCCAGAATCTGTTTCACTTTGGTTTAGAAATTTGCCCAAGAGATAAGCTGAAACTTAGGTATATATTGTTACTTTGAACACAAGCCCTTCAATCCATCACTCATCCATCAGCGCTCACCATTCATCCGCCTAATCCTCATCACTCGCCATCCATCATCGTTCATCCATCAGTCAACACCATCATCTATCACAGTAGATAACCCTTCATCCACCTAACGGTCATCACTCATCCATCAGCCATCATCGTTCATCCATCAGTCACCCCAATCATCCATCACAATATATCAACATTCACCCACCTACCAGTCATCACTCGCCATCCATCACCGTTAATCCATCAGTAACCACCATCATCCATCACAGTATATCACCATTCATCCACCTACCAGTCATCACTCGCCATCCATCATCTTTCATCCATCAGTAACCACCATCATCCATCACAGTATATCACCATTCATCCACCAAACCCTCATCACTCATCCATCATCCACCACAGTATATCACCATTCATCCACCTAACCCTCATCACTCATCCATCATCCACCACAGTATATCACCATTCATCCACCTAACCCTCATCACTCATCCATCATCCACCACAGTATATCACCATTCATCCACCTTACCCTCATCACTCATCCATCATCCACCACAGTATATCACCATTTATCCACCTAACCCTCATCACTTATCCATCATCCACCACAGTACATCACCATTCATCCACCTAACCCTCATCACTCATCCATCATCCACCACAGTATATCACAATCCATCCACCAAACCCTCATCACTCATCCATCATCCACCACAGTATATCACAATCCATCCACCAAACCCTCATTACTCATCCATCATCCACCACAGTATATCACCATTCATCCACCTAACCCTCATCACTCATCAATCATCCACCACAGTATATCACCATTCATCCACCTTACCCTCATCACTCATCCATCATCCACCACAGTATATCACCATTCATCCACCTAACCCTCATCACTCATCAATCATCCATCACAGTATATCACCATTCATCCACCTTACCCTCATCACTCATCCATCATCCACCACAGTATATCACCATTCATCAACCTTACCCTCATCACTCATCCATCATCCACCACAGTATATCACAATCCATCCACCAAACCCTCATTACTCATCCATCATCCACCACAGTATATCACCATTCATCCACCTAACCCTCATCACTCATCTATCATCCACCATAGTATATCACCATTCATCCACCTTACCCTCATCACTCATCCATCATCAACCACAGTATATCACCATTTATCCACCTAACCCTCATCACTTATCCATCATCCACCACAGTACATCACCATTCATCCACCTAACCCTCATCACTCATCCATCATCCACCACAGTATATCAACATTCATCCACCTAACCCTCATCACTCATCCATCATCCACCATAGTATATCACCATTCATCCACCTTACCCTCATCACTCATCCATCATCCACCACAGTATATCAACATTTATCCACCTAACCCTCATCACTTATCCATCATCCACCACAGTACATCACCATTCATCCACCTAACCCTCATCACTCATCCATCATCCACCACAGTATATCACCATTCATCAACCTTACCCTCATCACTCATCCATCATCCACCACAGTATATCACAATCCATCCACCAAACCCTCATTACTCATCCATCATCCACCACAGTATATCACCATTCATCCACCTAACCCTCATCACTCATCAATCATCCACCACAGTATATCACCATTCATCCACCTTACCCTCATCATTCATCCATCATCCACAACAGTATATCACCATTCATCCACCTTACCCTCATCACTCATCCATCATCCACCACAGTATATCACCATTCATCCACCTAACCCTCATCACTCATACATCATCCACTACAGTATATCACCATTCATCCACCTAACCCTCATCACTCATCCATCATCCACCACAGTATATCACCATGCATCCACCTTACCCTCATCACTCATCCATCATCCACCACAGTATATCACCATTCATCCACCTTACCCTCATCACTCATCCATCATCCACCACAGTATATCACCATTCATCCACCTAGCCCTCATCACTCATCCATCATCCAACTTAGTATATCACCATTCATCCAACTAACCCTCATCACTCATCCATCATCCACCACAGTATATCACCATTCATCCACCTTACCCTCATCACTCATCCATCATCCACCACAGTATATCACCATTCATCCACCTAACCCTCATCACTCATCCATCATACACCACAGTATATCACCATTCATCCACCAAACCCTCATCACTCATCCATCATCCACCACAGTATATCACCATTCATCCACCTAACCCTCATCACTCATCCATCATCCACCACAGTATATCACCATTCATCCACCTAACCCTCATCACTCATCCATCATCCACCACAGTATATCACCATTCATCCACCTAACCCTCATCACTCATCCATCATCCACCACAGTATATCACCATTCATCCACCTAGCCCTCATCACTCATCCATCATCCAACTTAGTATATCACCATTCATCCAACTAACCCTCATCACTCATCCATCATCCACCACAGTATATCACCATTCATCCACCTTACCCTCATCACTCATCCATCATCCACCACAGTATATCACCATTCATCCACCTAACCCTCATCACTCATCCATCATACACCACAGTATATCACCATTCATCCACCTAACCCTCATCACTCATCCATCATCCACCACATTATATCACCATTCATCCACCTTACCCTCAACACTCATCCATCATCCTTCACAATATATCACCATTCATCCACCTTACCCTCACCACTCATCGATCATCCACCACAGTATATCACCATTCATCCACCTAACCCTCATCACTCATCCATCATCCACCACAGTATATCACCATTCATCCACCAAACCCTCATCACTCATCCATCATCCACCACGGTATATCACCATTCATCCACCTAACCCTCATCACTCATCCATCATCCACCACAGTATATCACCATTCATCCACCTAACCCTCATCACTCATCCATCATCCACCACAGTATATCACCATTCATCAACCTTACCCTCATCACTCATCCATCATCCACCACAGTATATCACAATCCATCCACCAAACCCTCATTACTCATCCATCATCCACCACAGTATATCACCATTCATCCACCTAACCCTCATTACTCATCCATCATCCACCACAGTATATCACCATTCATCCACCTAACCCTCATCACTCATACATCATCCACCACAGTACATCACCATTCATCCACCAAACCCTCATCACTCATCCATCATCCACCACAGTATATCACCATTCATCCACCTTACCCTCATCACTCATCCATCATCCACCACAGTATATCACCATTCATCCACCAAACCCTCATCACTCATCCATCATCCACCACAGTTTATCTCCATTCATCCACCTAACCCTCATCACTCATCCATCATCCACCACAGTATATCACCATTCATCCACCTAACCCTCATCACTCATCCATCATCCACCACATTATATCACCATTCATCCACCTTACCCTCAACACTCATCCATCATCCTTCACAATATATCACCATTCATCCACCTTACCCTCACCACTCATCGATCATCCACCACAGTATATCACCATTCATCCACCTAACCCTCATCACTCATCCATCATTCACCACAGTATATCACCATTCATCCACCAAACCCTCATCACTCATCCATCATCCACCACGGTATATCACCATTCATCCACCTAACCCTCATCACTCATCCATCATCCACCACAGTATATCACCATTCATCCACCTAACCCTCATCACTCATCCATCATCCACCACATTATATCACCATTCATCCACCTTACCCTCAACACTCATCCATCATCCTTCACAATATATCACCATTCATCCACCTTACCCTCACCACTCATCGATCATCCACCACAGTATATCACCATTCATCCACCTAACCCTCATCACTCATCCATCATCCACCACAGTATATCACCATTCATCCACCAAACCCTCATCACTCATCCATCATCCACCACGGTATATCACCATTCATCCACCTAACCCTCATCACTCATCCATCATCCACCACAGTATATCACCATTCATCCACCTAACCCTCATCACTCATCCATCATCCACCACAGTATATCACCATTCATCCACCTAACCCTCATCACTCATCCATCATCCACCACAATATATCACCATTCATCCAACTTAACCTCATCACTCATCCATCAGCCACCACAGTATATCACCATTCATCCACCTAACCCTCATCACTCATCCATCATCCACCACAGTATATCACCATTCATCCACCAAACATTCATCACTCATCCATCATCCACCACAGTATATCACCATTCATCCACCTAGCCCTCATCACTCATCCATCATCCAACTTAGTATATCACCATTCATCCAACTAACCCTCATCACTCATCCATCATCCACCACAGTATATCACCATTCATCCACCTTACCCTCATCACTCATCCATCATCCACCACAGTATATCACCATTCATCCACCTAACCCTCATCACTCATCCATCATACACCACAGTATATCACCATTCATCCACCAAACCCTCATCACTCATCCATCATCCACCACAGTATATCACCATTCATCCACCTAACCCTCATCACTCATCCATCATCCACCACAGTATATCACCATTCATCCACCTAACCCTCATCACTCATCCATCATCCACCACAGTATATCACCATTCATCCACCAAACCCTCATCACTCATCCATCATCCACCACAGTATATCACCATTCATCCACCTAACCCTCATCACTCATCCATCATCCACCACAGTATATCACCATTCATCCACCTTACCCTCATCACTCATCCATCATCCACCACAGTATATCACCATTCATCCACCTAACCCTCAACACTCATTCATCATCCATCACAATATATCACCATTCATCCACCTAACCCTCATCACTCATCCATCATCCACC